ATCAGTCACTCTGAGTTTTTCATGCAGGCTGAACAGGAAAACAGTCTCTTACACCTATCTCCTGCATTAGCTTCTGACACAAAATAGATATTGAAATGCTAGGATTTGAAAATCCGCACACTGTGATGTCACTTTGTGAATTTACATTCATGGCCTCGTCCATCTTTGCTTCGCCTATCCCCAGGAAGGCTTTTTACATTCTTTTTGCAGCGAGGAGGAGAGAGCGGAAAGTGAGTTGGTGACAGTAACTTTGCAACATGGCTGAACGTGTTCTGTTAGCCAATCAGAAGCGAGGTGTGTGCATATCATTAATAATAATGAGCAATCCTGCTATTTTCAGCCCCCCTCTGGACCAACAGGAGCATCATAGCTTTTTTAAAATAACTCATAATGCATTTGTTTACAGTAGAGACCACTGCTAATGTATTGAATATACAAATAAACCACACCTTTAACATGTGGGGCTAGATAAATTCCTCAATTTATCCAGCTTGATGTCATTGCAGCACATTTAGATAACACCTTTGTCTAAAACACGTGTCGTCATTGAGATGCTGAGTGATATTTATGACTGTCTTTCATAATCAATTTAGCAGCTCCTTCTGTCTGCCTGTGTCTGTACAGGATCTGCTTGGGTGCAGGATCGGCTCGGGGTCCTTCGACTGCCGATGACGTCACATTATTGCAAATCTCGGCTTTCACACACACGTGTTGGAAAGACCTCAGCAGTTTTGTTAATAAATTCTTGTTTGTTAACATCTAAATGTTTTCTTTATAATTGTAATTTGTTAATAAAACACCATATTATCTTTGTATTGTAAAGAATGTGAAACTGCATAAAACCAACATCGGACTGACAAAACATAGAACAGTTCTTATATGTGAAGCCATATCTGTTTGTATTAATGTGGGGTCCATCTGTATATTTCCTTAGTTGTTATCTAAATACATTCTTTGACTCAAAATATTGCTTGGTGTCTTTCAATAAAGTTCTTATATTTTATTTTGCCCCATTTCATCAACATCAAGAGCTTTTGAGGGTCACCGTTTATCATTTGCTTATATTTTACATTTCCTTTAGAAATTCAAACATATTTTCTCTAAAAAGTGTTGATTTTTGGACTACAGAACTACGACCGCTAAGACTACGACCGCAAATTTTTTCTGACCAATCAAAATCATAACGTGATAACGTAACTTCCGTAAGCTTCATGTTCAGCCAATCAACTACTTTGACGTCATCAACAGTCGAAGGACCCCGAGCCGATCCTGCACCCGAGCAGATCCTGTACCGACACCGGATTGGTGCTGCGCCTGCAGTGATGCAGGCGTTATACCGGTCTGTCGGGGTGAAGAGAGAGCTGAGCCAAATTGAAAAAATAAGAAGTGATTATATCAACTTCCCTATCCTTCCTAAAGGGAAAGAAGTCCAGTTTAAATTTTTGAATAAAATTTACCCAACAAATAGACTCCTTGGGGATAGATTCAATATAGAAACTGGTAATTGTGTATTTTGTGAAACAGAAGAGGAGGACTTAGACCATCAATTTTTTGTGTAATTTTATACAAATATTTTGGTTGGATTTCCATCCTGGCTTTGTTCCAGTATGATTCAAATTACCCCATTTACCTTAAATATGATAATGTTTGGATTGTTTTTGAAAGAACAGAAAGTTAATTATGGTGTTAATGTGTAATTAATTTTGTACAAGTAATTTATATATAAAGTCATTTTTTTAATACCAAACCAACACTGGTTTATTGAAAAAATGACTTAAAATTATTGGTTAAATCTTTGACTTTACACTCTTAAAAATGCTGGGTTATTTTTCTAACCCAAGTGCTGGGTTAAGGCTGAATTTTTAGAGGTTGGGTCAATTTAACACATCATTGGGTTAAAAATTCTGACCCAGCGTATTGGGTTAAAAAAGGCGGGAAATAGTAAGATTCTCCCCCTTGTCTGTGAGCCTGCTTCACCATTTTAAACCAGAGGATGACACGGACATTAATGGAGCTTCACACCAGCAAGGATTTAAAATAAGGTAAGACGTTACTAATGAAGCGTTTAAAGATTAATTTCATTAAAACTGGACATGTAGTTGATAAAGTATTGGATTTTTAGCCTGTCTGTTCAAGACAACCGACTCATAGTTTAGATTAGGTAGCTGGCTACTTAGCTTCCTAGCATATATATATATATATATATATATATATATATATATATATATATATATATATATATATATATATATATATAAAAAATATATATATATATATATATATATATATATATATATACATATATATATATATTAGTGGTGGGCATAGATAAATTTTTTTAATCTAGATTAATCTCACTGTAATCTTGGAATTAATCTAGATTAATCTAGATTAAAATGGCTCATTCAAATTCTGCCAAAGGCATATGTGTGCGCTACCTAGATAATGAATTAAAGCAAGTCTTTGAGAATGGAGGAGTATTTCTTGTTTCAATAATGCATCGCAGACTGATAAAGCAGTTTTACTACGATAACTGATGATGAAAATAAATAATGATCAATAAGTATTTGTGTTTAATAGCTGTTTATTCAGTTCAACAAATTCTGCACTGTAGGTCTACAGAATAGGTCATGATTAACTATTTACAGTCAGTAGCATTTGGTCAATCAGTCCAAGCTCTATTTCCCCTTCTTCCACCAGTCACTCAAGCAGACCAGCTTGTTCACATTGTCTGGTGACAAACTAGATCTTCTCTTCTGCACAATATGGCCTGCTAAAGAAAAAAGTATATAGATATATATATACACACACACACAAACTATCTGGCCTGGGGAGGGAGTTTAATTTCTGGGGTGCCCTTCCAATGCCCCCCTTTAGTTTGCATGTAGGATCGCCTCTGGTGTATAGGAGAGAGCTGGAAATGATGCCACAGCTCACCTGTATGAGCAGAAGCTAACTGTTGCTGTTGTTGTCTCTGAAAACGGCAAGGGGAGATATCCTAGCTCAACTTTTCTAAACAAATATAAAAATTTATGAGTAAATTATTTATTATTACAGGTGAATTTGAGTTGAAGCCACATGAACAACGACCTGTAGAAACACTTTATCACTTTATCACAATAAACAGCTGCTAAAAGAGCTAAACTTATTTGGAAACCGCACCTGTCTGAGAAAGTCTTGTCTCGGTTTTCTCACATCCGAGCGCTGCTTCAGCCGCGGACGGTGAAGTGTGGCCCGGGGAAAGCCCGGCTGGAAATGTCGGAGGTAAACAAAACAAAATAAAAAGAATGAAAGTCTGATTTATGGATTAAACTCTGGTGAAAGTACATAAATTATTTACTTGTCCCGCGCGATGAGAAGGGAGAAGCGCTGCTGGTGGCGAAGGTGCGACTGTTCGGCTGCATGGGGAACATTAAACTCCGCGAGCCTGGCGTCCGTCCATACCATCGGTCCATACCGTTTATTATGTCGATGGTCCATACGTACGATGATCCGCGCCAAGTATACATCTGCGCCCACCAGGTATCCTTCCGCGCAATGTGAAAGTCATCATAGTTTACTTAGTATAGACCTAGATCCCAACCCAACTTTGAGAATAGATTAACGGCGTCATTTTTTTTATCGCGCGATAAGAGGCTGGCTATGCCGCAGCGCGTTAACGCCGATAACGGCCCACCCCTAATATATATATATATATATATATATATATATATATATATATATATATGTTTTAGATAGAATGTAACACAGAATCCGCAGCACAAGTGCTCTGGAAAATGTTGTGATCTTCTGTCCACACTCCCTGACATAGTGAGGCTCTACTGGGGGACGTTAGGCCTTCTGGCTATTTTATACCAGTGGTAGCATCCCTGCTAACAGCAGAGGGCCTTTATGCTACAGTCATGTGAATAATGTAACACATTTCAATTTTACAGACAAATGGGTGGATGTGGCTTTGTTGTTGCTGCCAGTGCTTCTCCAAACTGCACCATACAAGTTGAAGGAGAGCGTTCCGACCAAGCAGAGGTTCAGCAGGCCTTCACTGACTTCCAACCTGTAAGTTCTGTTATTTTTTACTTCAGTTATCATTCACAGCCCACTCCAAATATGTTTCAACATCTGTTTGTGAAATCATAACCTTTATGCCTAAATCTGTTCTTTTTTTCCTCTATCCCCCTCAACTTAGACTGGAACCAGTCTGGTGAAGAACCTGAATGGGACCACAGTGGAACACCACATGTCCTTATGGCTGCAGAAGACCATCGATGTTCCCAAGAATTTTTGATCATCAATGGAACTGGAATACGCATCTGTTCTTAGACATTTTTTGTGTTGATGTCAACTATCCAAAACCACGTGCACAGATTTGGGGGTTTATTCAGACATTTATCTTTGCATCATGAATCTAATGCTGTGAAGCTTTGAGGGCTCATGTTGCTATGATGTAAGGTTGATTTTCTGCTGACTAACGCATTAAGGTGAGTGTTGGATGTTGATGAACATTTACTTCACTACAGTTCTTCCATTAAAGTTGTTTAACATGTTTAAGACATTACAAGTTACGAAATGTTTAATATTTGTCATTAAAAAATGTAATTAGGAGTCATTTACATAACAAGTTAGAATATGAATGCATGTTTAGAGAAAGTAGAAAATGCAACTTTATTTGTTATCTTTGTATTTTGAAAATTAACATAATTTTTGTGATAAAGATTTGACTGAGACATGTTCATTTTGTTTCATTGAATTATTCAATTTGTATTTTATTTATTGTATTGTATTTACGGTAGAATTGGGTCATTTTAACCCAAGCTTTAGTAATTTAATAACCCAGAAGTTGGGTTATATTTTTAACCCAGTTTTGGGTAGTCCTAACTATACAGTTGGGTCATTTTAACCCATTGATTGGGTTGCAAGCATAACCCAATAAGCTGGGTCAAAATCATAACCTAACCCTGCTTGGTTAAAATAACCCAGCACTGGGTCGGTCCCTTTTTGACCCAGCACCTGGGTTACAAAACAACCCAAATTGGGTTATTTTTAACCCAGCAGTTTAAAGTGTGTAGTTAAAAAGAAAAAGGCAGATTTTTTTATTTCCTTTGTAGAAGATTTTAAGTTAGTGAATTAATAATCTGTTAATTATGTGACCTCATCTTTAAATTTTCTTTTTTTTTCCTATACATGAAAGTTGTTAATATGTAAGGAATGATTATTCTCTGAATATGTAATGTAGGGTGCATTTTGTTTGTATGTTATCTTTTCTAATAAGAAAAAAAACGAACAGCGCGGGTGAGGGATCTAGCTAATATTAAATCTATGTGCATAAACTCAGAAACGAACGCTCGGCCAGCGTCTGCACGTCAATCACGTGACCAAGCGTAAGCGTCGGGTCTGCATCTCCTTTCCGTCACTACTACCTGCCAGCAGCGTCTGCACGTCAATCACGTGACCAAGCGTAAGCGTCGGGTCTGCATCTTCTTTCCCTTTAATACGTCACTCACTGTTACCTGTTAGCTCATTTCAGCCTTGTGGTTGGTAGGTGTTGCACGTCGGATACCGGTTGGGGACAAAAAACTTTTCAAAGGAGTTTCGTGTTTTTCTGGCTTATTTCACTTCTGATAACTAGCAGTTTAACCACAGGTGAGTTTTTACAAAGCAGACATTCAGCTTTTTTCTAAAGAAACTCAAAGGTTCTTTATGTCTGAGGAGCACAGTACCCTGAGACTTGTGACTGAATTCAGTTTATCCACTGTCACCGATTCAGTTAAACAGCCAATCCAGGAATCCAGAATGAACGAATATAGTAGAATTCAAGCCTTAAAACAGAACATCAGTAGGGAGCGTGAAGGATTTGAGGAAACCCCGTTTCACCAAGTCATATCTGAGCCCAGTACTCAGAGCCTTGACACTGAATTCATGTTTCCCTCTGTCAGTGGTGCAGTTAAACAGCAAATCCAAGAAACCAGAATGAAGGAAAATTCTATTATTCAAGGATTAAAGTTTAAACTCACAGCTCTGATTCAAGGGCTTGAAGAACAAATGCTTAAACTTCAAAAAGATCGAGAAGATTTTGAAATCAGCAAAGTTAGGTCAATTGAGGAAATAGAGGGTATGAAATCTCTTCTGCTGGATCAGAGAAAAGACTTTGAAGAGGAAAGATCTCGATCAGATTACGAGATCAATCAAATTCAGACTTTTCAGCAAGATGAAAGAGAAATGATTGAACTTGTGAAAGGCAATTTAGCAGTTCAGAGCAACGACCTGCAGGGAGAAAAAGTAAGATTACACGAGGAATGGCATCATCTCGAGCAGGCAAAACTCCAAATGAAAGAGGTTTATGAAAACCTACAGGAGGAAAATGAGAAATTGAAGACGCACATAAAGGACATCGAGAGAGCCAAAGCAGACGCTGATAGAGAGATTGAAAACATGAAAATTCAACTCGAAGCAGATAAAACGTTGTTTGAACAGACGAAGAAAAGCTCAGAGCTGGAGTTTGTAACTATGAGAGAAGCTTTGGATGATGAGAAACGTCAGCTTGACTGTGAGAAAACAGAGTTTGAGAAAACAAAGACTGAATCACAGCAGGAGATAAGAGACACCATTCAAATGCTGAATGATGAGAAAATGTGTCTAGAATTTAGAATTGGACATCTAAACGAAGAGAAATGCGAACTGGAAGCCAGATCCCAGCTCGTGGACAAGCAGAAGGCTACAGTTGAGGAAGAAAGGCAGGAACTTCAGGAACAAATGATTAAACAAAACGATGAGAAAAAGAAACTGGAGGAAACGAAGATCAAATTGGATCAGGTCTACGACAAACTGCTGAAAGGTAAAGCTAAACTGAAGAAAAACATCCAAAAGTTTAAGACTAACAAAGCAGAAATGCAGGAGATGATGGGAAGTCTAGAAGAACAGAAAAAGGTGTTCGACGAGACAAAGAAAAGCTCTGAGCAGGATTTATTAAATATGAGAAAAGCTCTGGATGATGAGAAACTTCTGCTTGAAGCTAGTAAAGAAAACCTAAATATGCAGAGAATTGCGTTCGAACACAAAAAGACTGAAACCGAACAGGAGATAAGAGACACCATTCAAATGCTGCATGATGAGAAAATGTATCTAGAAATTAGAATTGAAAATCTTCACAATGAGCAATCTGAGTTTGAACAGAAAAAGACTGAATCACAGCAGGAGATAAGAGACACCATTCAAATGCTGCATGATGAGAAAATGTATCTAGAAATTAGAATTGAAAATCTTCACAATGAGCAATCTGAGTTTGAACACAAAAAGACTGAAACTGAACAGGAGATAAGAGACACCATTCAAATGCTGCATGATGAGAAAATGTGTCTAGAATTTAGAATTGGACATCTAAACGAAGAGAGACGCGAGCTGGAAGCCAGATCCCAGCTCGTGGACAAGCAGAAGGCTACAGTTGAGGAAGAAAGGCAGGAACTTCAGGAACAAATTATTAAACAAAACGATGAGAAAAAGAAACTGGAGGAAACAAAAATCAAATTGGATCAGGTCTACGACAAACTGCTGGAAGGTAAAGCTAAACTGAAGAAAAACATCCAAAAGTTTAAGACTAACAAAGCAGAAATGCAGGAGATGATGGGAAGTCTAGAAGAACAGAAAAAGGTGTTCGACGAGACAAAGAAAAGCTCTGAGCAGGATTTAATAAATATGAGAAAAGCTCTGGATGATGAGAAACTTCTGCTTGAAGCTAGTAAAGAAAACCTGAATATGCAGAGAATTGCGTTCGAACACAAAAAGACTGAAACCGAACAGGAGATAAGAGACACCATTCAAATGCTGCATGATGAGAAAATGTATCTAGAAATTAGAATTGAAAATCTTCACAATGAGCAATCTGAGTTTGAACACAAAAAGACTGAAACTGAACAGGAGATAAGAGACACCATTCAAATGCTGCATGATGAGAAAATGTATCTAGAAATTAGAATTGAAAATCTTCACGAAGAAAAATCTGAGTTTGAACACAAAAAGACTGAAACCGAACAGGAGATAAGAGACACCATTCAAATGCTGCATGATGAGAAAATGTATCTAGAAATTAGAATTGAAAATCTTCACAATGAGCAATCTGAGTTTGAACAGAAAAAGACTGAATCACAGCAGGAGATAAGAGACACCATTCAAATGCTGCATGATGAGAAAACATATCTAGAAATTAGAATTGAAAATCTTCACAATGAGCAATCTGAGTTTGAACACAAAAAGACTGAAACCGAACAGGAGATAAGAGACACCATTCAAATGCTGAATGATGAGAAAATGTATCTAGAAATTAGAATTGAAAATCTTCACGAAGAAAAATCTGAGTTTGAACAGAAAAAGACTGAATCACAGCAGGAGATAAGAGACACCATTCAAATGCTGCATGATGAGAAAATGTATCTAGAAATTAGAATTGAAAATCTTCACAATGAGCAATCTGAGTTTGAACACAAAAAGACTGAAACTGAACAGGAGATAAGAGACACCATTCAAATGCTGCATGATGAGAAAATGTGTCTAGAAATTAGAATTGAAAATCTTCACAATGAGCAATCTGAGTTTGAACAGAAAAAGACTGAAACCGAACAGGAGATAAGAGACACCATTCAAATGCTGAATGATGAGAAAATGTATCTAGAAATTAGAATTGAAAATCTTCACGAAGAAAAATCTGAGTTTGAACAGAAAAAGACTGAATCACAGCAGGAGATAAGAGACACCATTCAAATGCTGCATGATGAGAAAATGTATCTAGAAATTAGAATTGAAAATCTTCACAATGAGCAATCTGAGTTTGAACACAAAAAGACTGAAACTGAACAGGAGATAAGAGACACCATTCAAATGCTGCATGATGAGAAAATGTGTCTAGAATTTAGAACTGGACATCTAAACGAAGAGAAACGCGAGCTGGAAGCCAGATCCCAGCTCGTGGACAAGCAGAAGGCTACAGTTGAGGAAGAAAGGCAGGAACTTCAGGAACAAATGATTAAACAAAACGATGAGAAAAAGAAACTGGAGGAAACGAAGATCAAATTGGATCAGGTCTACGACAAACTGCTGAAAGGTAAAGCTAAACTGAAGAAAAACATCCAAAAGTTTAAGACTAACAAAGCAGAAATGCAGGAGATGATGGGAAGTCTAGAAGAACAGAAAAAGGTGTTCGACGAGACAAAGAAAAGCTCCGAGCAGGATTTAATAAATATGAGAAAAGCTCTGGATGATGAGAAACTTCTGCTTGAAGCTAGTAAAGAAAACCTAAATATGCAGAGAATTGCGTTCGAACAGAAAAAGACTGAAACCGAACAGGAGATAAGAGACGCCGTTCAAATGCTGCATGATGAGAAAATGTATCTAGAAATTAGAATTGAAAATCTTCACAATGAGCAATCTGAGTTTGAACACAAAAAGACTGAAACTGAACAGGAGATAAGAGACACCATTCAAATGCTGAATGATGAGAAAATGTGTCTAGAATTTAGAACTGGACATCTAAACGAAGAGAAACGCGAGCTGGAAGCCAGATCCCAGCTCGTGGACAAGCAGAAGGCTACAGTTGAGGAAGAAAGGCAGGAACTTCAGGAACAAATGATTAAACAAAACGATGAGAAAAAGAAACTGGAGGAAACGAAGATCAAATTGGATCAGGTCTACGACAAACTGCTGAAAGGTAAAGCTAAACTGAAGAAAAACATCCAAAAGTTTAAGACTAACAAAGCAGAAATGCAGGAGATGATGGGAAGTCTAGAAGAACAGAAAAAGGTGTTCGACGAGACAGAACAGCTCTGAGCAGTAGATCAGAAACGAGTTATTCATGGAGACAGAGCAGCTGGTGAGTGAATTGAAATGAAAAGCTAATTACTGAATAACTTTTGCTGCACACAGGCTGCTTTACACAGCAGCTCTTGGTTCAGCAGGTTACGTCTAAGTTACCCTAACCCTTACTCAACACATCAGCTGGGTTTCCTTAGATAGAAAATGTTTACATTTGATTAATAAATGAATAAAAATGACACATAAAATAAAAAATACATAAAAAATAAAAATAAACTAACTCTGCCAGAGTGTCCCTTTTGGGTCACGTCTGCCAGTCCCAAGCCTGGATAAAAGAGGAGGGGTTTCATTTGTGACACAAAACAAAAACATGTTTTTATTTCACACTTTTTGTCTCCCTCATGAGAGTATTCTTCTATAGGGAGCCTGAGAGTCCTCTCTTTCCAGGCGGCTCATGAGTTCCCAGGAAGAATGAAAGCAAGTGAACGGGGCTAAAAGAGACATTTTCTAATCTGCTTTGCCTAACGCCCTGAGTCACACACACGTCATACTTCAATTTAAATAAAAAGTAGGATGTGTGTTTCGACCATGCCATAAACTTGAGATTTGGTAAGTAGCAGCTAAGCTAGGGGAGAGGAGATTCTGTGTTGACGTCATACATGCGACGCACCGACATTTGATTTGCAGTCATGCTAATGACAAATTTTATTGAGCTACTCTCAAAGTACGTGACTGGCGTGGTCAAAACACACTTCATTACCTTTCATTTAAATTGCAGTATATAACATATGTGCGATTCAGGTAAAGTGGATCAGAAAATAGCTCTTTTAGCCCCGTTGACTTGCATCCATTTTTTCATTCTTCCGGTGAACCGTGAGCCGACCGGAAAGGGAGGAGACTTAGGCTCCCTACACGACACACGGCCACTAATGCTAGGTTATTATATAGTTTAGGCATCATTTTTATGTTGTAATTTCTAATAACTAGATAATTCCTGAAGATATTTTAAAAGCAACCTGCCATCTGACACAATGAGACATTTTTATTGCGGTGTTTTAAAGCGCACCTCCACCCGCCCTCTTCGATGACATAATTGAATGAATAATTAACTAATTAATTAAATGGCAGGCCAATTAGAGAGGCATTCTTGCTGTGTTTTTCACTAAATACATAACTAAATGAATCTTGGGGTGACGTTGAGGTGATACATCACACTTCCAAGACCAAGACATTGTTTTCATGTGTCTTATGTAGGGGTGCAGTACTCTGCTTTCTTTTGAATTATTTGACAATAATCACTAATTTCGTAACTAATGAGTTAGTAAAACTAATCGCGTTAGACACTGCTTCCAAAAGAAGCACATTTCATTACCATTACATTACAGTATTTTTTTCTTGGGTTGTGTGAATCTAAAGTCTCAATGAGACATGCATCGGTCTTTTACGCAGACTGGTGCCTGGGTCCTAATCCTGATCCCTTCGTTTATTTAGTCACTGGAGCTGGCTGCACATGTCCTCAGATGCATTTTTCAAACATTTTTAGTTTATAGGGGTGCGACGACTCTGCTCTCTTATTCTTTATGATAGGACCTGTTTGAAAGCGAGATGTCACAGCCATCTCAAGCCGTTTTAATCTCATGAAAAAAATATATAAGTCAAATAAATAATTACACCCCCCACCCCACCACCACCACCTTCTGAAACAGATACACAAGATGGAAAAAAATATATATCAGTTGGTGATCGATAGGTAACATCCGCCGATATTGATGCATCCCTAATTGTTAGACATTATTTTTTCAGCGAATCTGTTTTTGGCAGACAGCAAGCTCAAATGGTGGCGGTGGCAGCCTGAAGTGTTTCCATCCAGTTGACCTAAATGGTAAATACAATCAAATAAACAGATTACAATTAAAATTAATCAAAGATCAAAGGTAAAAAAGATCAAAGGTAAAAAAGATCAAAGATAAAAAGAAGTTACTGGTTACTTTTGGTATTTGATTTTTAATGTGTCTGAGTTATTTTCATTCATTGCGATCCAAATACATCAATGCTTTCCAGTTTAACACTGGTGGTCGCCGATACACATGGACATTGGGCTGAGTCTGCTCCTTAATGGTGAATGGCTGCAGTGGGTGGCCGTCCACGGCCGTGATGCGAATGTGACAGGAACCAGGGATACCTTCAGCTGGGCGGCCTGGCCACGCTCCATAAAGTCATAGGCAGCCCCGGTCAGGCAATCGCCCCTGGGAATGGGCAGAAGGCAATTGAGCGCCAGGTAGGACACCCCCATGTCCTCCTGGTGGTGGTGTTTTCCGGCCATTTGGGACATGCGGCTCGCCGGTGTTGGGGGAACCACAGTAGGCACAAAGGCCCTGGAGCCAGCGTCTTTCTTGTTCTGAACGGGGCAGACCTCCAAGGAACCTCCATAGGTTCCGCAGCTTGTTGTTCCTCCGGTGGGGGTTGTGGAGGTTGGCAGGCAGCAGAGCTGCCACTTCAACCTTTTGGTCTTAATGAGGATTTTGAAATGTCTGTATTTCTCTAAATAATAATATATTTGTTGGATTATTATTCATATATATTATTGCCTTGCTCTATGATGGCTTTTTTAGCTTGATGCCTGCAATGTATTAATCTCTTCCTTCGGTTTTTATAAGATCCTGTAAGCTTCTTGTGCCAGTCACTATGTTTTGTGAATGGGACTCCATCCCCCATAATGCTTTGTTGTGTGGAATTAGCACAGGTGTATTACATCAGCAGTTCTTCTTATCTAGGAACACTCTGCATGAACATGCACAATTCCTGATGAAGGTCTTTTGACCAAAAGCTGGAGAAGAATAAATACTATATCATCACAGACTGAAGTCTATGGATTTTGTTCCTCTACATGTCACTTTGGATAAAAGCATCTGCCAAATAAATAAAGCATAAACAAATGTACTTTGTTACTTTCCACCACGGATTTTTGATAATAATCAGTCACTCTCAGTTTTTCATGCAGGCTGAACATTAAAACAGTCTCCTACACCTATCTCCTGCATTAGCTTCTGATACGAAATAGATGTTGAAATGCTAGGATTTGAAAATCCGCACACTGTGATGTCACTTTGTGAATTTGCATTCATGGCCTCGTCCACCTTTGCTCCGCCTATCCCCAGGAAGGCTTTTTACATTCTTTTTGCAGCGAGGAGGAGAGAGCGGAAAGTGAGTTGGTGACAGTAACTTTGCAATATGGCTGAACGTGTTCTGTTAGCCAATCAGAAGCGAGGTGTGTGCATATCATTAATAATAATGAGCAATCCTGCTATTTTCAGCCCCCCTCTGGACCAACAGGAGCATCATAGCTTTTTAAAATAACTCATAATGCATTTATTTACAGTAGAGAACACTGCTAATGTATTGAATATACAAATAAACCACACCTTTAACATGTGGGGCTAGATAAATTCCTCAATTTATCCAGCTTGTTGTCATTGCAGCACATTTAGATAACACCTTTGTCTAAAACACGTGTCGTCATTGAGATGCTGAGTCATATTTATGACTGTTTTTCATAATGAACCAAATTCTCTAGGAGGAGAACATTTAGCAGCTCCTTCTGTCTGCCTGTGTCTGTACAGGATCTGCTCGGGTGCAGGATCGGCTCGGGGTCCTTCGACTGCCGATGACGTCACATTATTGCAAATCTACTCGGCTTTCACACATACGTGTTGGAAAGACATCAGCAGTTTTGTTAATAAATTCTTGTTTGTTAACACCTAAATGTTTTCTTTATAATTGTAATTTGTTAATAAAACACCATATTATCTTTGTTTTGTAAAGAATGTGAAACTGCATAAAACCAACATCGGACTGACAAAACATAGAACAGTTCTTATATGTGAAGCCATATCTGTTTGTATTAATGTGGGGTCTGTCTGTATATTTCCTTAGTTGTTATCTAAATACATTCTTTGACTCAAAATATTGCTTGGTGTCTTTCAATAAAGTTCTTATATTTTATTTTGCCCCATTTCATCAACATCAAGAGCTTTTGAGGGTCACCGTTTATCATTTGCTTATATTTTACATTTCCTTTAAAATTCAAACATATTTTCTCCAAAAACTGTTGACTTTTGGACTACAGGACTACAACCGCTAAGACTACGACCGCAAATTTGTTCTGACCAATCAAAATCATAACGTGATAACGTAACTTCCGTAAGCTTCATGTTCAGCCAATCAACTACTTTGACGTCATCGGCAGTCGAAGGACCCCGAGCCGATCCTGCACCCGAGCAGATCCTGTACCGATACCGGATTGGTGCTGCGCCTGCAGTGATGCGGGCGTTATACCGGTCTGTCGGGGTGAAGAGAGAGCTGAGCTGGAAGGCGAAACTCTCGTTTTACTGGTCAATCTATGTTTTCAACCATCATCTATGGTCATGAGCTTTGGGTAGTGACCGAAAGAATGAGATTGCAGAAACAAGCCGCCTAAAATAAGTTTTCTCCACAGGATGTGCTCTCCTTTAGAGATAAGGTAAGAAACTGGTCACCTGGGAGGTGCTCGGAGTAGATCCACTGCTTCCCCACACTGTGGACCCAGTTGAAGTGGCTCAAGCATCTTGTTACAATGCCTCCTGGACATCATCCTGAGGAGGTTTTCCGAGCATGTCTGACCAGAAAGAGACCCAAGGGAAGATCCAGGACATGCTGGAGGGACTCGGCTGGCCTTGGGAGCTGGGGAGAGGGAAGTCTGTGCCTCTCAGATTGGGCTACTCTTCCTGCAAACCGACCCCTGATAAGTGGAGGAAAATGGATGGATGGATTTTGGCACTTACCTTGAAAGTGGACAGCCCATGCTGCGTTGAAATCACTTCACATAACTGTGGATAAATGTGTAACTCTTTGTTGTTGTTGCTGACTTGTTTTAAAGTGTTCTGTTCAATACATAGAATTTTTAAAATCTTTTAGTGATTAAGGTACCTGCAAGCCTATTTTGTGATATCCCCTTAGACTCTCTCAAAACAGTCTCTAATTTAAAAACATGGGACAGACATTAAAATAAGTATTGATGTGTATACTGTATTAATACTAACTGCCCTTTATTCAGTTCTACAGAGTTCAACAAGTTCACTAATTTAAATGTCATTTTCCACATTAGTCTGTCCTTGGAGAAAAGAAGATCCCATTGTTTGGTCTGGCAGAAAAAGGGACTTACATGTTAGCAGAGACGTAATTCACTGCCTTTCTAACAGGTGTGAGAAAGTTCCCGGCTACATGAGGGTGAATATCAGCGAGTCTTGGAAGATCCCTCTCCAGATGTGTGTGTGGTTAATAAATATCAGCTTCTCATAAGAGGGTTTAGGATTCCCCTGACAGAAACCAGGATGTCCCAGAGTGTGGTGCACCGAGTGCTATTTGTGTAACTTCACATTTAAAGTATCCTGAGTTCAAAATGAGTCTAAGAAGTGCGTCACAGGCTGTTCTGCACAACGCTCAAATTACTATGATCAGATAACATCAACTTAGTTGATATAAAACATTATTTGTTTGCATTATATACAAATAAAATAGGTTCCTTATCTTTACATGGTTAATCATAACTGCAAATCTTCACGCTTGTTAAGTTTCATTTCTTCAAAGGTCCTTTTTCAATCATCTGACTTCATCTGCAGCTTTGTGAATCAGCGTTGACGTGGCCTTTGTGCTGAAAGCTGCGACTGTAGTCTCTGTTTGCCAAAACGGTCATATGACACTTCAGCCACCTACCATTCAAACTCAGATGCATTGTGGTCAATCATAAATAGACACGATGAATTGTTCTGGAAAGTCTGTTGTTGTAGAAAACACTATTTTGTGTCTGCTGAAACTAAATATCTTATGAACACCTGTGCAAACCTAATCAGTGATCTCAGTGAGTTGAACCTCAGCCTTCATTTCAAATTAAACACAAACTACTCCTTCAACACCAATGCTAGCCTCTCCCTCCTTTTATATGTTTTCTAATCTGATCGTGTTTGACATAAAATAAAGAGCCACACAGTTCGTCTCCGCACATCAGGTCTCTGACATGTCAGATTGTGTTGGATCACAGTGATATCACGGAGAATGACCAGAGAAGAAAACACTTCGTGGAACACTGCTGCATCCATCCATCCATCCATCCATCCATTTTCATCCGCTTATCCGGAGTCGGGTCGCGGGGGCATTCGCCTAAGGCGAGAGGCCCAGACTTCCCTCTCCCCAGCCACTTGTGCCAGCTTCTCTGGGGGAATCCCAAGGCGTTCCCTGGCCAGGTCTACCTTTAGGTCTCCTCCCGGTTGAACGTGCCCAGAAAAGGAGGCATCCTGACCAGATGCCCGAGCCACCTCAACTGGCTCCTCTCGAAGTGTTGGAGCAGCGGGTCTACTCAGAGCCCCTCCCGAAGACCGAGCTTCTCACCCTTTCTCTAAGGGAGAGCCCAGCCACTCTTTAGAGAAAACTCATTTCGGCCGCTTGTATCCGCAATCTTGTTCTTTCGGTCACTACCCAAAGCTCATGACCATAGGAGAGGGTAGGAGCGTAGATCGACCGGTAAATCGAGAGTTTCGCCTTCTGACTCAGCTCTCTCTTCACCACGACAGACCGGTACAACGCCTGCATCACTGCAGATGCAGCACCAATTCGCCTATCGATCTCACGCTCCAGTTTTCCCTCACTCGTGAACAAGACCCCGAGATACTTAAACTCCTCCGCTTGGGGCAGGACCTCATCCCTGACCCGGAGAAGGCATTCTACCCTTTTCCGAATCAAGACCATGATTCTGCAAGTCACTGTCAAAACCTTAATGTCTCAGTGTCTACCCAAGCAGAAAAGACTGATACTGTATTCGTTACTGTTACACCTAATGAAAACATGGTTTCCCACCAGTGATACCTTGAACATACACAATAATTCTATGCTTGCATTCACACCATTTATTGGTATAACATAAAAAAATAAAAATGCTTCTTGAAGACACTTGATAGTTTGGTTGTTTTTATCCTCATTAAATGACAAATATAAATATTTCAGCTGGCTGTCAGAGTTTAAGCATTGACAAAGAAGCTCCTTGACACTAAATATCTATTTCTACAAAGTTCTTAAGTTAGCCACATCTGGGCTCAGCCTTCGTTCGATTTGGACCTTTTTATTCCAGCGGACATTCCTGCATCTTGGATGGAGTAGTTTTCCTCGGTTTTCCATCTGTTCAGAAAACTAGTTTTTTCTTCATTACAGCTGAAAAAAAAGTACAAGGTTACTGAAAACATTTTTTTAAAGACTACAGTAACTAGAACTCTGTTTTTAAATGCAGAACACAAACATAAGTAATCTGTACAAAAGCCATCTCTGGTAAATCTCATGTAGAGCTTTCTACGACGCTGTGGGACAGAACACAAGAGTCAAACCCACAAACCAAAGGAGGGGCTGGAACAGCTTTGAACCTCCCACTAACACACACACAGGCTCTACTTTACTCAAACATACATTCCCACCACTCACTAAACTGAGAGCATGCTCTGCCCAAATATAATCTGAATTTCTAACTTGAGTGTTAAAAGCAGCCAACACCCACTGAATTGCTGGGTTCAGTGTAGATTTATGACTTCAGAAGCAAACCAGGAGAACAGATTATTAAGTAGAGATTCACAACATGCTCCTCAGATCTATTTCTGACAGGGATTTAAACCTCGTTCAACAAACACTTCCTGTTCTTGCTGCTCAAACTGTATAAACAAGTTAACCAAAAATAACCTGGACTAGATTTAGTTTGTTATAGATGCAAAAACAAAAAGGTTATTGGATTTTTATTGAATTAAAGTTAAATTTAGCCAAGAAAACGTCTTGGGCTGCATGGTGGCGCAGGTGTTAACACTGTTGCCTTGCAGCAAGAAGGTTGCAAGTTCGAAACTCGGCTGCGGCCTTTCTGCGTGGAGTTGCATGTTCTCCCCGTGCACGCGTGGGTTTCCTCCGGGTACTCCGGTTTCCCCCACACATCACAACATGCCCTATAGGTTATAAATTGTATGTTGCTTTGGATAAAAGTGTCAGCTAAATAAATAAACATAAAATGTAAAAGTTAGTAAATTCTGATCACTTGTTTCCAAGCCTTCTATTTTCCTCTTGAGCCCAGCTGTTTCGTTCTCTCTCAAAGCCTCGGCTGAGCAGTTAGGTTGGGGGAGTTGGGGACCAGGAGTTGGACCCGGCCGATTACTGAAGTATTTCATCTTTAGAGCCTGAAGAACAAAGAAAACAGCATCAATGTGGCAGGTGTTGCCAAATTAAAGCATTCTTAAGTGGAACTGTGTGACGTACGAATACATGTTTAATTACTCCTGTCATCAGTGCACTTGGAATAGCGTTAGAGATGCTCTTATAAAACTTTAGCAAAACGATTATAGATGTTTTCCCCAAGGGATTGTGATAATTGTGGAAAATGACGTTTAAAATATTACTGGTACTTTTAGGCACAATTGAGAGTTTTGCTTGCTTTTAGCACCCCATAGTGTCTGTTTAATAGAACCAAAAGCGAAACTTATCTCCTTGCTGTGTGCTTGTCTTTAACACCTTAATCTAACAGCTGAAATTTCTCCACAGCCTTCATTAGTGTCTACAGGAGTGATTCATCACTGAATGAAACAAATCAGCTGTGTTCATGATCCAAACCATGCAGGAAATGTGCTGGAGGCAGACTGCAATGCCAGGTATGTCAGCGCAGACCAGACCAGCACTCAGAAGTTGCAAATACGGTATTCTGGCCACAGAGAGTGGCTGGAGTCGGAGTTACATTTCATTAAAACTGTAAAAAGGTTCTTTTAGCACATCCTGGCTCAAGAAAACAATTTAAAACATAAAAAAGTTGTATAGTATGACTTTAAAACACTGAAAAGCAGCTTGAACCTGCATTTATTTGTATATTTATATACAAAATACACATCCAAAAAATAAACAACAATCTGACATTCTGTTATTTAGAGTAAAACATCTGATCTTACAAATATTTCTCTTAATAAAACCAACATGTTAATAACATGAGAACAGTGATGCTTGTACCTGTGTAGCTGTGGTTCTTGTTGAAGGGCTGAAGGTAAACAGGCCCTGTAGGAGCTCAAGTAAATCGTCACCAGCTGCACTAAAAATGTGCTCGAGAGGTGTGCCAGGAAATATCTTAAAGGACACATAGTCTGGTAGACTTGTCATTCCCTGGAGAGACAAATAAATGGTTAGAAGAATCCCCCATCTCACTCAAACGATGACACTAAACTGGCAAAACTGATACCAACGGGCCATGTTTCTTCTGTGGGTGTTCCTAAGGCCTCAAAGATTTTGGTCAGCTGGTCAAGATCAGAGTCTCCAGCGAGGAATGGTATCTGCAGCAGAGGAAACTATCAGGACAGACCTAAAAGAACAGCATTGCTTTACTATGTGAAGTGAGGTTTAAGTACCCGAAGTAACAACTCAGCCAAGATGCAGCCCACAGCCCACATGTCAACACCCACTCCATACATCTTGGCACCAAACAGGAGTTCAGGGGAGCGGTACCACCTAAAAAAACGATGACAGAAAACATACAGAGTTAAATGTTTGATCTTTAGTGTAGAGGTGAGAAATTCTATTTTGTAAAATTAGATTAAAGCCAACAAAACGATCGTTGTCATTACTGCAGCGGCTCTGACCTGGTAACAACTTGATGAGTGTAGATTCTGTTGGGGCTTCCAAAAGCTTTGGCCAATCCAAAATCAGCCAACTTCAACACTCCGTTACTGTCTAGCAGCAGATTGTTGGGCTTCAAATCCTGAACGTATAAAGGAAAAAAGAAGCAATAATTCTAAATAATAAATCACCTCTGTGCATTTGCAGAATACGACAGAGTGGTGTTTAGGTGCTCGTACCCTATGTAGGACCCAATGTTGGTGCATGTACTCTAATCCTTGTAATGTCATGAGGATGTAGGCTTTAATATTGGCTGGAGTCAAGACTAGGCTTGTGTCTTTGATGATAACCTGAAAAAATAAAACGCACACAAAAAAATCTAAGCAAAACAACAAAAAATATGCTTATCTGACCCACACAAGGAAGCTTTAGAGAACTGAGATCAGACCAAACAGCTTCACTTTAACTACTCGACAAATCCCCAAAATGTCCGTAAAACTAAACATCTGTAGCTGATAGTTTAAACATTAACTGACTGAACCTAAAAATGTTTACAACATTATTGAAAAAGAATAGCCTCATAATTCACACATGCCTCCCCTAACTGCTGCCTGCCAGCTGCTAATGGCATAAATGTATTTGAGCCAAGAAGAGAGTGATATTGATTATTTGGAAGCACTTTTGTCTTTTTATTGCATCAGTAAAGTCTAATGTGTCTGAGGTGTGCGTCCGTCTGGAGTCTTGCACGTTAAAACGGAATGAAAAAGGAGAATGGGAGCATGAAAGAATAATTTTACTTTCATTTTAGTTGCTCCTTTTGTAAAGACATTTGATCTTGCAGCACACATCCTTATGTTACACGTTTCTCCCTAAACAAAACCTTAAACATCACAAATGTTCTTTATTTAATTCCAATATTAAAAAGTCATTGAGGGAATGATTACTAGTGGTCCACAAATGCAAAAAAAAAAAAAAAAAAAAAAAAAAAAAGAAGAAGAACGAATTTAACCCGACACAACACATGTATATACAATTTTATAATACCATGATTATTGTCTTTTTAATCAAAATTAGACCACAATTCTGTAAAGAAGTCACTTTCATTACTTACTCATTTGTATAAAAAAGTGCAATCATAACCACCTTTTCACCAAAATCCTGGGGAATGTTTAACTGAATCAATTTTTAAAGACTTTTTTGTTCTTTAAACCCTCAACCAAAAATTTAGCCTTAAATGGGAGAGCTATTTTACACGCTGATTGCTTATGATACTTGGATATACAGAACTAAAGTTAATTTAACCCTAACCCGACTTAGTGAAGACCATTTAATAGTACTTAAATTACAGGGGAAAAAAATCTAGTGCAAATATAAAAACAAGCTGTATGAATGTTCTATTACAGTGGTTCCCAACCTTCTTTCCATGGGGACCCACTTGCCTGTATCCAAGATGAGCCAGAACCCCCAACCACAACTTCTTCCAGCATCCACACATTAAAAATGATTAATTAAAAACTTTACACAGACATACAGATATTTGATTATACATTTGGGTGTGTCATTTGGATTTTAGAAATGTAATTCTTACAAAAACTACCTTGGTATTCTCACAACCTGAGCACAGACACATTTGTGGGGACCTCCAGCAATCCTGAGCAGGCCCCCATGGGGGGTCCCAGACCCTAGGTTGGAAACCACTGTTCTATTATATTAATGCGGAACTTCATCATATTCAGAAGTAATAATATCAGAGGGATAATTGTGCATATAATCAAAAACAGGAGGCAACTCACCTCCAGGTCTGTTTCCATAAAATCAAACACCAGGCTGATGTTTGATTTATGTCCAAATGCATCCAACAGCTACAACACATAGCACAGTAAATAACCAACACTGCATTTAAAAGAAACAAATTAATAACACGAGAATACCAATATGCCTGATCAAACACACAGTGCCTCTTAAACGTTCAGACACACATCTACCCAAATTAAATAATTAGGTTGATTTTTCCAGATGTTTTACTGGAAATGTAGAGGACATAAATGCATGAACATAGTTTGAGTACCCCAATGATATTTGGATGATGCAGCTCCTGTAGCAGTTTGATTTCCCTGAGAGCAGTCCGATTTACACCTGCAAGAAAAGAACATTTATTTTCAATAAGATACAGCACGAGTGTTTGGTATGTGTGGGGCACAGGTGTGACTATGACTTACCATCTTTAGCTTCAGTTTTGTGACCAACTTTTATCTGAAAACAAGCAGATAATCAAATTTAATCCCGAACACCACAGTGTCCGATTAAAGCAGAAACTTCACTTTTTTGTACCTTTTTGATGGCAACTATTGTGTCTGTCAGTTTGTCTCTGGCTTTGTAGACTGTGGCAAACTGAAGAGATGAAAGAAAGGTTATTAAAGGAGAGCATACAACGCGCTGAATGCTTTTAGAGCTAGTGTGATCACACCGAAGCTGCCGGGGCTTTGTTGACATTAGCTACCAGCTAACGCTTGTTATCAAGTTACTGAAAACGTTAAACAACAAAGCAAAAATAATAAAAGTGAGCGAAACGAAGAGTAGATATTGAAAACTTTGAAATAATTCTCTGCCTACCTGACCCTCTCCGAGAAAATCCAGTTTCTCGTATCGTTTCGCTCTGATTTTTACATCAAGCGCCATGGTAGCTAGCAGTAAGCTATACTTTTGGTCTGGTTAAAGGGCCAGAAAACTTCTTCCGGGGCAAAGGTGTCAGGCTTTAAAACTGAGCAACTGCGCCATCTACTGGTCAGGCTAAAACAATTTAATGTCAAAAGATGTGCAATTTTTTGGTTGAAAGAACACGTTCAGAATGATTTAAAATATAAACAGTTATTTTATACAAACTATGTAGGAATTGTTGTGACTTGTTCAGTCCCAATTAATGTCACCTAACTAAAAATCAAAATGTATTTCACCCTTTATTTAATCTTTTATTATTTTAAAATAAAGGATGAAATACATGTTTCTGATTTAGAGGAAAGACAACACAAATCTCATGGCAATTTGCCATTTTCCATTTGTTTTTTTTTCATCCACCAGTTTTGACACTGGTCTCCTGGGAGCCTGTTCTGTCAGTTAGGAAGTTTTTGTGATCCATGCACCACTGAGCACATCTCTACATCCCATCACCATTCACTGTAAGATACCATAACATCCCACAGGATTAGGCACGGCTCCTTTGACCTTACTTGTCTTCTGTCTCAAATGCCCAAATTCTCACCCGTCAACACACACACACATTCAGAACACTCACCACTGACTTTCATTTTAATGTTAAGTTTGACAAGAGGAGTGTGAAGGATCAGCATGCCTAATACACCCCTCACCCCCCTCAGATGTATGCACATTCATGGTCTGACAGCTCACAGATGTGACTGACAGTATGTGGCTGTGCAGCAGAGAAGAGAGCAGTCTAGCCACACTTCAGTCCTTGCTGCCATCACATCATCAACTTTTCAGGACACAAATGCTGGCTTTGGTGTAGAAGAACTCTTATGGGTCTTGTACGAACCATTGTTTATTGCTCTGTCAAATACTTAGAATAACTGTTAAAAATTCAGCTTATTGTTTGTATCTGACCTTGCATAATGTGCAGTTTGTGCTAAATATCTAAGAAAATGGACAAGTGGAGGTCAAAAACAGAAACAATCCTGTCTTTAAAGACTGAGTCAAATCCAGCAAAGTCTTGACTGAGATGTAGATGATCCTACTGTTGATCATTGACTGTGTGTCAGGTTTGGACCACAAGCTTTTCCAGAATCACCTTGTTGGGATTAAAATTCTGATTTAATTAACAGATCAATACATTTAACAGGAAATTAATCAAACTTTGTGTTTTTGGACAGTCTGCTGGTATCTAAGAGTCTAAAGATGAAATTTTAGGGATGTTTGATATCACTTTTTCTGCCAATATCTGATAAAACGTAAGTCAGCTTCTTAATTTCCAATAACAATTTAAACCACACCAATAAACGCAATCAAACGTGTAACAAACTCTTTCTTTTGTGTTTTTTATGAGTCGACATAACTCCGGTTCATTAAACTGGACTGAAAATAAGCAAAGAACCTGCTAAAACTCATCAAGGGATCTTCAGAAATCAAGTCTGGTTTCTTAAAAGAGCAACATAAATAAACAAAGGATGACTCACAGCTTTTTCATTGCACTGTGCATCACCAAGTCAAAGACAGCACTGAAATATTGATTCCCTTTTAACTGTTTTATGATTTGAAGGCATTTCTCGTCTCCTGCTCCTCCTCAGTCTCTTGTTGAAGCTTCAGATGAAGACATGCATGAATAATCCCTGTGGTGCTTTCCATACTTTGTCAAAGTACGTCTCACAACGACACCGCCAGTAGCACTCAGCACAGTGAGTCACCCTAGCAGATGGTGACGCTGTTGAGCTGATGTGTGCTTGACGGGCCAAAGGAGAACTAAACCACAGAGCTGTTTATCAAACTCGTAGGAAGTGGGCGTTGCTGAGCGAGGATGTGTCGTATCACCACATCCTGCTGCTGGGAGGCAGCTTCAGATGGGACAGCGTTCACACAATGTACAGTAAACAACAAATGCAGGACAGTTGGCCTCTCTTCTTGAGTGTACGAGTATGTGTGTGTGTGTGTGTGTGTGTGTGTGTGTGTGTGTGTGTGTGTGTGTGTGTGTGTGGTGTGGCTTATTCAGATACAGTATGCTGATAATATATTCTTTTTCTACTTGTTGGAGGGGGTACTTGTTTAGTGAAAGTCACTTTTTGTTGGTGCCTCACACAGATGCTGTTTCTGCATAAATAAATAAATAAATAAATAACACAGTGACAAAAGGCAATCAGATTTAAAAAAGAAAACACAGTCACCCACAGACCATGTATGCCTCTTCAAAATGCAGAATGCACGCAAAACAAAACCTACAAATGTGTGAAATCTTACACGGAGGAACATTTTGGAAGGAAAAAAAAGGGTTAGGGAGCTCAGTGGTCTTCGTCTCAATCACTACCCAGCATCATGGCTTTCACTCTGCTCTCATTTACCTAACTTCACATAAATGTGATTTATTAGAAGCTAACTGGAGAGTAGATTAAACAAATGTTGGTGCTGAATGCGTAAGCCACAAATGATTCAGCGCTATAGCTCTGTTTCGTACACCTGCTGCATGATTTTGTTTTCATCTTACTCACAGGGGAAGTGGCAGCTTCTCTCATCTGGGGAGTTTTCCCTCAGTTCTCTTTCTGACTCTTTTGTGTGCTCACACACACACACACACATGCACGCACGCACGCACGCACACACACAAATCCAGATGTATCTGACCACACGCACGCTTTTAACACAACAGGATGTTGCAAGATGGGTGTTGGAGGTGTGAAGGTTCACACACGCTGTAATAAACATTAGCTTCTCAGAACTAATTGTTCATCATTTGAAGGTCTAATAGATGCTGTGGCTTATTTTTGGTCTCCTACAGAACAAGACATACACTGGGATTTGGACAAACATTCATGAAACCTGACTGCTGACTTATTTCAGACGTCAACCACGCCTGGTCCATGGCATCTTCACTTTGCATGTTTTCAGCAACAAGATAATAAGAAATCAGGGCGTTTGATCATTATCTTCCCCCGGTGAGACGTGTTTACAACCAGAGCACGTTCATCAAACTGTTGCCGTCAGTCCTGGGTTGCTTTGTTAGAAGCCAGAACTGTCAGTCTGAATAAATATTTGGGAACTCTTTTTAGTTTTTCTCCATCATTTGAAGCACACAGCATACTCCTCATTATGATAGTTTACTTGTTAGTAGCAGGGGGATGGGCGCAGTGTCATCTCTTCACATGGACGGAGCCAGCAAGGAGTCTACCGTCTGCTGCATTTAGGACAGCTTTGTTGTTGTCCCAGCTTCAGCCTGTGTTGCTGTTTTGTCCCGGTTTGCATCTCTTCTCAGACATCATTATTGCACTCATTAATATAATCTCTAGTCTAGCATCAAATGGAAAACAAAGTCTTGCAACATTTCTTTTTCTCTTGTTGTTATTGCAGTTTTAAGCTAAGTTTGACCGCTTGTGCAAAGCACACGTGACCAGACGATTCCCTCAGGAAAGCCCAACTTTGTCTGAGCTGCTCTGTTTGAATTAAAGGTTGTGAATAGTTTGCGATGTTCCTGGTAGCTTATTTAAGGTTATGTATAATGTTTATAGTAGAGGGGTGCAAAAGCTAAGAAAGCTAAGAAAGAGGATATGTGAGTGCCTCAGGATTGATTTAAATCGATGTTGCCATGAGAACGTTGAAAGTGTCTGAAGTTAAGAAGGGCCATCCAGAGAGCCGTATCTGGACAGTAAATGAAGGAGAAGAGACCATTCTCATCCCGGCCTCAGTGGTGTGTTGTTCGAGAAGCCATTTACTTCATTAACCCTGTCAGATCAGCGAGGCCTCAGTAATCAGCCTCGTCACACGTCCCATTAACTTCAAGTTCTATCAGCATGGCTCTCACACTTCCTGATGCACACATGCACGTGCATCTTATTTTGTCACGCACGTCCGGATCTGCACACACCAGTCTGTGTTTCCTGCACACACAGAAATACACACTCCACTCCCTCTGTCTCAGCTAACCCCATTACCACTGTTGGTCCCAGGGGTCTCTCAGCTCTGATGAACCCTCAGCTGCCCTCTGAGATTAGTGGACTCCCTCAGAAAAGCCCCTCATTGATTGAATGTGAGTCTCTCCTGCTCACAATGTCAGCTGAAGGTTGGCACGTTCACGTTCTCCCCTTAGCGCAGCCAAGTGCTCCAGCTTTGTTATTAAATATCAGCATCTCAGAGTTATTTCATCTCTGCTGACTCCGCTGCTCGTGTTATTCATGGAGGCAGCAAAGCAATTATTGACATTCACTTATATAGTCATCTTTGTTTTCCTTCACTGCGCTTTTCTCCAGTGGCCCCCCACTCAAAGTATTCATTAATTTCTTCTTTACCTTTTTGCAGTCTTTCGATCTCCTCTCTCCCCATTGACTAGAGGAGCTGTTGCTACATGAAAAAAAACTTTTATGCACTGCTCATCAGGCAAAGAGAAGCATTTACATTTAATCCCACATAAGAGACACTCCAGTAAAAGGCAAAGAGAGAGGGGGAATGATGAGGGAATGGGGGCAGCACTTAATAGAGCCTTAGATAAACGTCTGGATCAGTGAGACGGATAGATGTTTCTTTGTTGAACCTGATGAATGAAGCACCAGATTTCCTGTAGCGGTGAATGGAGATGAAAAGATTATCCAGATATTTGGATCATTCAGGCAGGAAGGTTGCTGCTCCTTTCCTCCCCATCATAATTCAATATTTACAGTTTAAGCTGGAAAACTGCTCCCACTTGGCCTCCTGTATCTGGTATCCATGGCAACAGATTTGAGAAGAGAGTGCCGTCTTCACTTGACTGAGTGTGTGTGTGTGTGTGTGTGTGTGTGTGGGGGGGGGGGGGGTCAGAGAGAGAGACAGAGTAAGAGAGAGAGAGAGTAAGGACTACTGAAACAGTGTGATTGATTGGTTGTTAGGGAGCAGCTGTTGACCCCTCGATCTCCGCGGTCTCTTTGTGCTTTTGCACACATCTCGAATCAATGCATGTGAACACACACACACACACACACACACACACACACACACACACACACACACACACACACACACACACACACACACACACACACACACACACGCGCACACACACACACACAC